TACTACTACTTCTACTACTCTTACTCTTCCTCTTACTACTACAACAAACAACAACAACTACTACTACTACTGCTACCACCATGACTGCGACTACGACAACGACTACGACCAATATCACTGCTACTACCAGTACTACCACTACTGCTGCCGCTGCTACTACTACTACCACTACCGCTACCACTACCACCATTACTGCTAATAGCACTAGTACTAACACTCGTATTAGTACTAGAGCTACTACGGCGACCACTGCGACGCTTACTACTACTACTACTACTACTACTACTGCTACCACTACCACTACTACTACTACTACTACTACTACTACTACTACTACTACTACTACTACTACTTTTACTACACTTAGACTTACTCTTACTCTTACTCTCACTCACACTCTCACTCTTATCCTTATTCCTTATTAGAATATACTCCTACTCCCCCCTCAGGCCGGCCATTAGGGGCCGCATCCGGGGGGTCCCATCCTAACCCTGTAAAAAACCATACAAAATCAACATTTTTCTTATTTTTTCCTCTCGACATGGACGTCCTGTCGTCCACGGCGATAATCCATCGCAAAAAATTACCACAAAGAACGCACGCGCGCGTTCATGTCAGAATCCTACCGAACGCCGTGTGTTTGCAAGCAATTCAACATACAAACATCAAAAACCCAATGCTTTTTCACAAAAATTGTACAAATTTCCCGCCCGGGCTCTCTTGCTGAAATCATAGGAAAACCATAGGAATCTTAAGAATTCGGTCAAGTCCAGCGATTTCACGTCATCGCGCGGTGCACTCGCGATGCTCTGTCATGGACCCAGGCCGCGAATCCTGTGCAAAAAATGCCACAAAGAGCACACTCGCGCGTTCATGTCAGAATCCTACCGAACACCGTGTGTTTGCAAGCATTTCAACATAAAAACATCAAAAACCCAATGCTTTTTCACAAAAATGCTTTGGGGTGTCCTGTCAGACCGTCGGGCTTCCTCCGGCCACCTCTGGCTTCCTGCGGTGTACCGGGCCATTCTCGACTCGTCTGGCAATGCGTGCGCGGCATTCAACACGCGCTCGCCAGTTCCCGTCGGCAACCGCCATCGCGGCCGCATCAGCTGTACCAAACCGGCTGGCCGGTGTGACTTCGGCCCCCAGTTGTGCCAGCTTTGCTTCTTTGTTGTGGGAGGGCGGGTGGGACTGGGCATGCCATGCTTGACTCGCTCGAGCTGGCTAGCTTGACTCTTACTCTTACTCTTACTCTTACTCTTACTCTTACTCTTACTACTACTACTACTACTACTACTACTACTACTACTACTACTACTACTACTACTACTACTACTACTACGACTACTACTACTACTACTACTACTACTACTACTACTACTACTACTACTACGACTACTACTACTACGACTACTACTACTAATAGTAGTAGTAGTAGTAGTAGTAGTAGTAGTAGTAGTAGTAGTAGTGCTCGTAGTCGTAGTCGTAGTCGTAGTAGTAGTAGTAGTAGTAGTAGTAGTAGTAGTAGTAGTAGTAGTAGTAGTAGTAGTAGTAGTAGTAGTAGTAGTAGTAGTAGTCGTAGCCGTAGTCGTAGTCGTAGTCGTAGTCGTAGTCGTAGTCGTAGTCGTAGTAGTAGTAGTAGTAGTAGTAGTAGTAGTAGTAGTAGTAGTAGTCGTATATTACTGCTACTACTACTACTACTACTACTACTGCTGCTGCTGCTGCGACTACTACTACTACTACTACTACTACTACTACTACTACTACTACTACCAGCGCTACTGCGACTACGAAGAACGACTCGAGTACAAGAGTATGGACTTGTACTACAAACCTTGTACGCGCAGGCACGCAATGTCTCTCTCGTGCAGGGTCGCCCAGGGGATGCTATCCGTAGAATCCAGCACGTCGAACAACAATAGAAGAATCCACCGACCCCGCTTGCCGGCAATGCAAGAGCGTGTGCGAAGCCAGGCTGATCCCCGGGCGAAGCCACCACAGCGCTCCATGAGCGCACCAACAGGGCTCCGAGACGTCCCCGAGAGCGCCAAGAAAGGCCAAGAGGCCCCCAAGAGGCCCCCAAGATGGCACACGAGGGGTCCGACATGCCACAAGATCGCTCCAAGACGCCCAAGATAGCCCCCAGACGCCCCAAGAGGCCTCCAAGAGCACTCCCAAAAGGGCCCCAGGAGGCAAAATTCATTGTTTTTCCTGTGGTTTTTGAAAGATTTTGGAGCTTCCACCTTTTCGGGTTCCCGACGCCCCAAGACGGCCCAAAAGGCCCCCAAGAACGCCCCCAAAGGCCCAAGAGGCCTCCAAGAGGGCCCCAAGATGGCCCAAGAAGGCTCGAAGACGGCCCAAGAAGCCTTCAAGACGGTCCAAAAGGGCCCCAAGAACGCCCCCAAAGGGGCCCCAGAGAGGGAACACGAAACAACATTTCGAGCCCTCGGCCCTAAGAAGCCCCCACGAGGCCCCAAGAGGCCCCTAAGAGGCCCCAAGAGGCCCCCACGAGGCCCTCAGGG